GAGTAACCATATAATTTTCACACTCCCATTTTTCCTTATCTGTTAATCTAAGTTGAATATACAGAAGTGTTATATTGTATTCCATTTTAAATATAATCTGTATTGAGAAGCCACATAATATTTTTCTTTTTAAAAAAATCAACATTTTTGGGGCACCTGGGTGGCTTAGTTGATTAAGCACCTCCCATAAGCTCAGGTCATGGTCCCAGGATCCTGGGATTGAGCCCTGCATTGGGCTCCCTGTTTAGTGGGGAGTCTGCTTCCGCCTCTGCCCCTCCCCTCTGCTCATGCTTTCTCTCTGGCTCTCTCCCTATTTCAAATAAATGAATACAATCTTTTTTTTTTTTTTAAAGATTTTATTTATTTATTTGTCAGAGAGACAGAGAGAGTACAGGCAGGCAGAGTGGCAGGCAGAGGCAGAGGGAGAAGCAGGCTCCCCGCGTAGCAAGGAGCCATTATATGGGACTCGATCCCAGGAGGCTGGGATCATGACCCAAGCCGAAAGCAGCTGCTTAACTGACTGAGCCACCCAGGCATCCCTAAATGAATAAAATCTTAAAACAAAACAATACAAAACAAAAACATTTTCTTTAGAAAAAAGAAAATCTAGTAGCTCATTTAACAGAAGCAACACAAACAGGGGGTTGGTTCTCTGCTGCTTCTATAACCCACCACTCCAGTGTCTTCTGTGATGTGGGAGGTAATACCTACTTGGTAGGACAGGTTTGAGGATTAGAGAATAATATACTTAAAGCACTTAGCGCTTGCCTGGCACATGTTTCAATAAATTACAGTAACTTTTATTTCTCTTGATAAGCATAATAAATTGGTGAGGTTAAGTTGGTCAGCTTTTTTCTCAATGTTTCTCCTCCGTCAAAAGGATAAAATGGTTAACTTTTCCCTTCCTTTTCTCTTCCACTTTTTATTCCCTCTTCTCCACCCCTCCCCACCTCCAAATAAAAAACCCACACAGGAAAGAAGGTGGAAAATATGGCTTTGCAGAGTCTATAGCAAGTCAAAGAATCACAGCATTTAAAATGGAAAAGGCCCCTATTGATACCTCTGATGTAGAAGAGAAAGCAGAAGAAATTATTGCTGAAGCTGAACCTCCTTTAGAAGTGTATCTTTATTGGATGGTTTTTTTCAGTAACAACATGATTCATAACACTTTTGGCATTATTAAGAATATGTGAAGGGTGTACATACTGGTTTGTTTTCTGAAACACTGCTTTGTTAGAGAAAACATTGAAGATACAAGACAGTGATTAGTCTTATTGAGTCTGATAAAATTCTTCGGCTAGCCTACAAAAACTGAAAATTTTCTATCTTACCAATTTACAGCATTTTTCTTTGGAAAATTGTTCCTTAATCTCAGTCAAGCACTTTATATCTATCTATATATATCTATATATCTATCTAATCTCAGTCAAGCACTTTATATCTATTACACATTGTTCTTGGAAATTAGTTATTCATCCATTTGCCACATTTATTACTGCAAATGGTGAGAGCCAGTATGTCTCAATACTTCTCACTATTGTTTCCATAAAATCTTACCTGAGTTAACGTTTTTTTCTTTTTGTTCAGCCCCCCACAGTGTAGCTATTAGTGAAATTTTTTTGCACAAACTTGATGCACTCTTCGTTCTTAAAACTTTTTCTCTCATCTTTTTCAACACTGCACCAAATGGCAGTATTTTTGTTACTCAGTTTCCTTAACTTGTTAAGTGTTTCTAATCCTGTGCTTTGGACTCCTGGAACTGCCCAAATTGGAGAGGGAGTAGAGAACTCCTGGGGTGATCTTGAAGACTCTGAGAAGGAAGAGGAAGATGAAGATGGCACTGATGAAGCAATCATTCTTGATAGTATAAAAATGGACACTGGAGTAGAAGTCTCCAATATTGGAAGCCAAGGTAGGTAACACTATTTATGGCTTTTATGTAATTACGTATATTATATATACATAATACATATACCTTCCTTTTTTTGGGATCTTAATTTTATATTCCTCTAAAAGAGGGGCTAAAATTTTGTGGCTTCAATTTCAGTTAAACTGTTGATACTAATTACAGAATTAATTCCAATTCTTTTCTGAAAGAACATGCTTTGTGGAGTAGTAGTACTCTGGTATATAGTGGCATTTTAGTTAAAATTTTTTTTTTCTTTTATATGTAGATGTGGGCCAGTTTTAAAGGGATGAGTTCCTTAAGTTCATTCCTGCTTGCCATTTCTTCTTTGTAGTGTCTAGATTCAAACATAAAAAGCCCATATCATAACATACATTAGAGCTGTCCAAATAGAACTGTAATGTTAGAAGTGTTCTATGCATACACTGTTTAATAAATATAATAGCCACTAGCCACATGCAGATATGGAGCATTTGAAATGTGGTTTGTGACATAAGAATGGGATTCTAAATTTTAATTTTAGTTAATATAAAATTAAATAGCTATATATGGCTGTTATTAGAGCAGTATTAGAACATACAGAACTCTAGAATCACCTGGAATAATGGTAGTTCTAGGTGTTCTTTGCATCCTGAAAGCTGTAGAACTAGAAAAAATTGTTTTTAACCTGTGGATATTTTTACTGTCCAGAAAACCAAATTCTTGCTTGGCCCATTATAATCATGAATTGGGTTTTTCAAACCCAAACCATACAAGGATCGATGTAGCAAGTAGGCTGGCAGAGAACTAAAGGGTATATTTACTAAATCTGGCTGAAAAAAATAGTGAAGGTGATACTGTTTAAGTACGTAATGTACATACCTGTCTATCTTCAAGGAATGAGATTAATTACCTATAAATATTACTGAGAGCCTGCTGAGGTTTTTTGTAAGGGGGGGGGAATTGCCTATTGATTGGGAGCCTTACTCAGCTTTCCTAGTGGTTACTTCTGTTTGGTATTATTTTTTTAGACCATGTTCCATGTATTTATTTACTATATATTTATACCAATATAAGCTTAAACACAGGAACTGTGAATCAATCTTTAGAATTTTTTCATGTCATCAGCCACATTTTTTAAATGCTACATAGAATTCTAGCTTTGACAATAACTAGGTTGGTTTAATAATATTCCCTTATTGATAAATGTTACCATTTTGTTATAGAGCTACAGTAAAACATCTTAGCATATGCCTCTTTATATATTTGTGAAATAGTTTTCTAAGATTAGTAAGATTAATAGCTAAACATTCAATTACTGCTTTGAAGAGTAATATTTTCAACTGAATAATGAAAATGGACCTAAGATAATTGGGAGGATAAAGCAGGTAAAGCCTTTCTAAAGCACATCAACACGAGAAACAAATTGAAAACTCAAAGATTGATATGCCACCTGGGAAAAGGGTTAATTCACACTTTATATACATCATTAACTAAGGCTCAGAAGAAAAACTGGCAAAAGATACAAAGTAATTCTCAAGTACAAATGGCCAGTAACCTATTTCATGAGCAACCTTACTAGTAATAAAGGAAATAAATTCAAAGCAAAAAGGGATGTTTTCTCACTACTCTATCAGACAGTATTAAAAACTAGGGCACCTGGGTGGTTCAGGTTAAGTGCGTGACTCCTTGATTTTTGCTCAGGTCATGATCTCAGGGTCATGGCATCAAGCACTAGTTAGGGCTCCATGCTGAATGTGGAGGCTGCTTGTCCCTCTCTCTGCTTGTGCTCTTTTTTTCTCCCTCTCAAATAAACAGAATCTTAAAAACAAAACAAAACAAACCACCATTGGCAAGAGTGCATAGGAAAATGAGTTTTTAATAAAAATTCATAGAGTATTTTGGGTGGATTTGGCAAAAAATTTTTTAAAACGTATATACCTCTTGACATAGTAATTCTCCTTCTAGGTATTTTCCTTCCAGTGTTGTTTATAATAGGGAGAAGCTGTATAGACTTTCCCCCCTATTATGACATGTACAAAATGGTCATATAATTACAGAATTTTTAGGAAATAAAGTATGTGTTATTTTTCAGAGCTACAGGGAGTTACTTCAGGGAAGGAGAAAACAAGTAGTTCTGTAAGCCTCTACTCAAGAGTAGTTGGGACTGTTTGTATGGAAATAGAATTTTAGAACTGCTGACATAAACCCATGTAGAAATTTTCCAAGAGATTATGCTTATATTGTTTCCTCAAATTTTCTTAAAGATGCCCCTATTGTACTCTCAGACAGTGAAGAAGAAGAAATGATCATTTTAGAACCAGACAAGAACCCAAAGAAAATAAGGTAATAAAGTTATGGTTTATTTCAAATGTACACACATAACTCAAGACTTCTCTGGTTTTATTCTCATCTTATCCTACTATAAACAAAGACACACACACACACACACACACACACACACACACACACCCCCTTTTTTTTTTTTTTTTTTTAAATCCAGCTCTTCTTAGTTTCTTCAAACTGAGATTTAACAACAGGATCTAATTCTACAAAACTGTATAGATGGCCTTTTAAGGTCACTGAATTTTATTCTTAGTTGGCAAATGTTATATATTCTCCTGGAAAAAAAAAAAAAAAAAGGTCTCCCATTTTGGTAGTCCAGACTTAGAACGAGCAAAATGGTGTAAGTCTGGTAAACCATCCATTGTATCGGCTTTATAGTGCTAATACTGTTAGTAACTTTAATTTATTTTATTCACAGAACACAGACCATCAGTGCAAAACAAGAAGCACCAAGTAAAAAGCCAGTGAGAAAAAGAAAAAAGAAGAGAGCTGCTAATTGAAGCTCACATAGTTGTATATTTGTGTATATAACTATTAAAAGGATATTTATTCAGTGCTCATAACTTGAGTATTTTTCTATTCACAAATCCATTATAAAATCTAGTCGATTCTTTATATGATTTTTTACATTGTGCTTTAAAATAAACCTGAACAACTTAGTGGGTTTTAAATAATTGTCACTTCAGTAGAGTGGAAAAGTTGATGAGGAATGAAACAGCATTTTCATAGTGTGTACAAAGGGCTGAAAGATTCTCAGGATCATCACAACTGATAAATAAGTACAGATTTATTCCACATATGCTTAGATTATGCTCAAGTCACCAAATTGATCCAGTTCCTTAGGAAAAATGAATGCTCAAACTTTTATCTGTTTTTGTAAAACTATTTTTCAATTTCAGAAGCCTTCCCAATTCCCTTCTACAGTAAATCAAAATAATTCTTCAGAGTGATATCATAAAGTCAAATCAGATTTGACTTACAAAAAACCAAATTTTCCAAATCCATTTATTAGTTCTTATTCTTACTGTGCTGACAGCTGGCATTATTAATACTTTAACAAAACCACTTAAAATTAGCCAAATATCTAAGATAGTTACATGTACAAAAGATATACAAATTAAAACCATTTAAAAAGTAATAGATACCATAATTTGTACTTGACCATAACGCTATTCAGAAATGATTGTAAAATTAAAACCTTACAAAACTGTACATCATATACTTTGAATGATTTACATTTTAGAAAACAAAAGCAGTCTTTCACTGTTAAACATTTAGTGTCTCTGGTGGGTTGAGGAGAGAAACACCATGATACCTGTAAGTAGGAAAAAAACTCAGTAAATATTCATTGGGTAAAGATCATGGAATACAGAAATGCTGTTAATATTTTGATTGAAATTAATGGTTATAGAATCATTGGTCCACAAAACATGCAAGCATGCCCCGTTCTCCCCTTTTCTCCCTCAAATGCAAGACATAAAGCATAACTACAACCTACTCAAAACACCTGGCTACAAGGAGCCTGTGCCTGTTTTGTGAATCCTTTGATAAAGTTAAAATGTCAAGGATCTCAATCATGTGGTGGCCTGAAAAAGCAAGCTTCTTTAATATCTATTAATGTTAATTCTTACTTTGAACTTTTATATTTTTCTCTTATTGACTGTTGTGCATGCTGTGGTGCTCTGAGGTAGGTCTGGTGAAGGTCCATGAGACAAGGCTTAAGACTTTCCAAGGTATATCCAGTCTTTTGAACTAAAGATTCAGGCTGCAGAGAAGGGAGTAGAAAACCACTGAGTTTTGTTTTTAGTAACAGACACTAAATACAGTGAGGTAGTATTGGCATTAAACTTGAGTTTTGTTAAATTTCAAGACTTAACACCTCCAACTAGCAAATCTTCCAGATTTCTCAAGCCCTTATTCCATCTTTTATGCTGACTTTGATCAGTTTTTACCACTTTCCCTGCCAACAGCAGGTCTTACGGTCCTAATTCTTTAAGCACACCTTTCAAACCCAAGAATAACAAAGCTTTCTACTTAACAAGCAAACATATGTTACTAAACAAGACACTTTAAACATCACAGATTTTTTTAACGTTTTTTTCCAGGTAGCTACCTCTATACCAGCAACACTTGTATATAAGTTATCTAACTTATCTGACAGAAATAAAATTTTAAGTTGCAAGACAGATGTGTGAGGACATGGTGATACATACCCAGCTCTGTCCTGTGACTGTGTAGAGTGCTAAATGAAAAGCTGCTGCAGCTATAACTGATGGCAGGTACTTTAGATAGGGGTCAGCATCTATGAGACTTAATTCTCCCAAAAACTGGAATGAAAAAGCAAATATACTTTTTGGTCACAAGAGCTCTAGAATTCAAGCCTCAAATTTTCCCCTTCTGCCCTAATATGTTCCTGTCTTTAAGACTGGCTCTATGGCAGGGCACCTGGGTGACTCAGTTAAATGTCTGCCTTCGGCTCTGGTCAGGATCCCAGGGTTCTGGGGTCAAGCCCCACATCAGGATCCCTGCTTAGTGGGGAGTCTGCTTTTCCCTCCCTCTCTGTGCTCTCTCTTTCTCAAAGAAATAAAATCTTTAAAAGCCTGGCTCTATGGCAGCCAAAGGAAAAAAAGTCCCATAACCTTATCTGTCCTCATCCTATACTTTTTCCTCTTCCAATAATTTTTAAAACAACTCTTCTGGCTACCATTTCTTAGACTTCATCCTCATACCACTTTCCTTAGTATTTCCCAATTCATGTTATCTTCTGCCAGTTGTAGGCTCTCTTTATACTGCAACACTAATTTGTCCCCAAAACACTAAATCCCTTGACCAAAGCTATATAATTAAGCTGTGTGACCTAAGACTCTTCATTCAACAAATGAAAAGAACTTACCATTGCTAAACTTTCAACTTTGCAGTTGGCAGAATGCTGGTGCAGAAAGTATTGAGTAAGAAACTGATTTACTGTTGGTGCAGCTAGATCAAAAGCAAGCACTTTCAAAACTAGGTGCTCCATTCTCAGGACCTGTTTCTTGGTATAGGTATCATCTGTAATGTACACAAACTCTGCTACTTCTGGGGGGTATATTTCTTCAAACTTTCTACAATGAAAAAAGTTGTAAGTAATCAGTCCTTCCAAAAAGAGAAGCAAGCTGTTTATCTAATTCTGAAATCCCTTTAGCATGAAGTATGTCCAAAACCTACACTCCACCAATTTCCTGTTTGCCCTGGTACTTGACATGTCCAGCAGAGCTAGATAAATGCTAACTAAAAGACCCAAATCCATCCAGGACTTGGGATTTTTTCCCAATGCAGTCAAAAGATATAAGAGGCAAGAAAGAGTTCCAAGATGGGAACAATGCCAGAGTTTATTACCACGTAACTGAAAATTTAGGAAATTCTTAGTAAAATAAACATTTTTAGTTTTTTAATGTATTTAATTTCCATGGGAGAAGATAAATTCTTTAAATTTTAATAAATTAATTTAAAAATAATTTAATACATATTGTTTAATAAAGATTTTATGCCAGAAAGGCACTTTTTGATGGAAGGAACCACACTTTCAAACTTGGTAATCTACTCCTAGTTTATTAAAATGTAGCCAGTCTCTCATCTTCATTCAAGAAGGTCCCCTGGAATCTAGATCTGGGAAGATTAATATCCTAAATTAGTTTCACACACTGTTTCATATTGCTACCCCTAAAGTAGTCTCTGACTTTCTGCCTTGTGTTTTTTATTAAAATGCTACAATCTTAAAAATCACAATTTCTTCCCTACACAGAAAGGTATCAATCACTTAATCCAACAAACCAAGCTGAACTTACGAGGCCAACAGCATAGCAGCAGTGCCCACAAGCTGAAGCTTTCCTCTCAACACAGACATCGATGAAAGGAACCTATCAATGTAGTTCACAGCCAAGTGCAGGGTCTCATTCTGTAGTTTATATTCTTCTCCTACTTCAACTAACCAGTCCACAAGGATAGCCCTCATACTATTAGTGATGTCTGGCTGTTTCTTCATGTAACCCACTTTAGGCTTACATTTTACCTGTTGAGAAAGTTACTTAGTATAATGTTAAAATTGCAATTAGATTATTCTACCATTAACAAAGAGGCTACATACCAGAAACATAAGTATAACATTACAATAATTCACTAGCAGTTAAAGAACTTAAAAACATCCTCTCAGTTTCATTTTGCCACAATGAATAAACAACAGTATAAAAACTGGATTCTAAGAGCTCTTACCTCCATTTCCCTAAGGTATGTGTGAATGTCCTCATGGTAGTCTGGGACTTCATTGACACTCAATGGCTTTTCATCTTCTAACACAATTGAAATATCCATAGTATGCGGTGACTCTGGAAGAATATAAAAGTATGATTAAGTTCATTGTTTAATTTTCTAATTAATGTAATGGCCAAAACTGATTGCCCTTGTAAAGTGTCCCATACAAAAGCATTTTTTTCATCCAGCTAAAAAGGGCTTTTCATGACAAAGTACATAGAATATTTCACTCTGGCTTTAGGACCTCTGTCCACTTGGTTTTAATCAACAAGAGAAAATACTAATAGGCCATTAAAAAGAAAGTGCATTTGAAAATGTATTATGTTAAAGTATGATTCATATTCCATGAAGGAGAAGAGAAGATAGCACAGTGATCCTATGAAGACAGAGTTAAAATCCAAGTTTTGTGATATTATGTACTATTTACCCCAAGAGTTTGTAGACCACAAAGTCTGATAAATTCAGAGTACAATGTAGCAATAACTAGGAGGGCTAAAGTGTCAATGAAAATTAGGTTTGTTATGAGCTGTTCCAACAAATTAGCACTACAATCAACAAGTGTTCCGTGTTTTATCATTTTAAATGACCATTTGAGGCAAGGAATATCATTCATTACTCTTTTCACTTCAAGGTTCATTTGAGGTTAAAACTTGTTACAAATTTTCAATAAAAATACAAAAATTACTTTATTTCTAAAGGATTTTCCTGCTACTCCCAGACCGCTTCCCACAAAAGAACTAAAACCTAAGTGAGACTGAACTTAATGAGTTATCAGTGACTCGACAGATCTATGGTAAAGAAGTTGCACAAACTGCTGGCAGACCTTTATAGCAGCTACTTTATTTTATATGTGATTAACTGCAAACAGCCATAATTGAACTATTGACTCACAGGATAGTGTCCTCTCTAGTAGCAGACTAGATTTACAGAAAATTTTAAAGCCATAAGAGATGTTAGATATCACAATATTGAAAGGTATATCCTATTCAAATATTCTCTGAAGTGATATGTACAAAGTGAGTTTTATCAGTACAACTGAAATCTATTCTCCCAAGTAAGGAAGGTGTTTGAGATCTACTTAAACTGATGTGATTGGTAGTATACCAGTAAGGGAGGAGCATCCAATTAGGATTTATAGGTCACTAGGTTGTATTAGCTGTGAGATCTGAGGTAAGTCACACACTTTCTAAACTTTGTTACATTAAAGCAATTTCATTAAGTAGTAAGGATCAGGGAAGATAATGTCTTAAAATGCAAAATATCATTAATTCAGCCTATTTAATAATTATGATTATATTGATTTGATATAGATGTTCTTTAAAACTTACCAAAACTACCGTCCATTGGATAATCAAGAGGTACCAGTGGTTTTCTTGGTCCAGGTAAAGTAATAGCTGAATTAAAAGCCAGTACATTTTCATGTTCTGTTTTTTTAGATTCAGCTGGCCTCTTTTGAGTCTCTTGTTCTGCTTCATCCACATGAATGGTAAATGCAGGCTGTTTACTGTTTGCTTTCCAGGGAGGAACAGTGACATGTTCATCATTTACAGGAAGATCCTTAAGAGGAGCAACCTAAAAAGAAATAAATATCTGGCTTTGAGCCCATTAAATGGAGTTTTGCTTTCTTCCCCTTAGGGGTCTCAGTTTCTGTTTTCATTCCCAAATACTCTCAGGAAGTTAAACTACCTCGGACAAAATCCTGGCAGTAAAGTTTGAGTGGCTGAAGAAAGGGATGTTCAAATTCCTTACAGGCATTCCTACATAAGTTATAGAAAGAATCACACCAAGTGACATTATGTAAAACTAATCAAGGCTACAAGATGAGGGGAATGGCAGGCTGAAAGATGACAAGTTTAGGAGAGCCTGCTAAGAGGTGTTGGTTCACCACTTTCGCCCCAGGGTGGAGCAACAGAGCAAATCCGGTAAAATGGCGGAATTTACTAAAAGCAAAATATTTTTTATACCCTTTCCTAAAATAGAGGTAATCTCAACCATATGGAAAGCAGGAAGGGGGTCCAGATCCCAGGGCAGTGCCTAGTGTTTAAAGCGGCGAGAAAAGCGCGGACACACGTAAGGTTTGGTTTGACCTTATCTATAGAAAAATATCCCCAATAAAGAGCAGATAAGCAGCAAAACACAGCGCGACGAAGAGAGCAATGGGAGAGAAGCTATAAGTGGCATCGCACATGCCAGAAAACAGGACCAAGGGGATTCTAGACCCAGGCCTCCCTTAAAAAGGCTCGGAAGGTACTTTCTCGCCACGCTCCTCGGCCTGCTAAACCTCGTGCAAAACTCCCCCTCCGCCCTCCCTCCCGCAGACATCGCTCATTTCTTTACCCGTCGTGTTTTGGGCTTCTGCTGCGGCGCTGGAACGCGCGGGTTCCCGGCCTTCAGTACCGCCAGCCCCGCCCGGGTCCGTGGCTGCTGGGCGGGCACCGCCTTCTCAGGGTTGATATTCTCCTGGTCCTCTTGGAGCGCCGTATGCTGCAATGTTAGCAGCGATGAGCCCGCCTCGCGGGCCGCAGGACCGGACTCGGAGCTGCCCAACATCACTGCTCCCGGGGTTGCGGCGGGATCAGCCTGCGGCGCCAAGCAGCGTGTACTCCGTCCCGCCGACCCCACCGAGAAACGCTCCAATCGTAGCCAGCCGCCACAGCCTGGGCCAGCCTGCTCTCTCGGGATCGCGCAGTTCCGAAGAGGCTGCGAAAGGCGTAGGCAGGAACTCTCGGGCGCGGAGGGCTAAAGACGCCCCCAAGATGTAGCGAGCAGCCCGCCGGAGCGGCGGCTGTTCGTGCAGTTCAAGTATCCCGCGACTATTGAAATGGGCCAATGGGGAAGGCCGATGCCCGTGACGTCAGTCACGGCGACACGGTCGCTTGCGAATGAAGGCCGCCGCGAAGGCCACAGAGCAGGGGTGGAGATCCGCCGAACGGCAGCGGGAGGAAAAACGCCTGCGCTGGCCGAAGAGGCGGGGCCTGAGTTTCTGGTGACTTTAAACAGGGCGGCTAGGTGATCCCTGGACTCTGGGAAAGGGCTGTCTCTAGAATAAACTGAGTTAAACTTCAGCAATTGCTAGTGGGCCGCCCCAGCTTAACGTTAGCCCTGGGACCTTCAGTGAGCTTAACTGATTTCCAAAGCTCTAAAATCTGACCCAGCCAGTAACTGGCCTGGTAGTCTTGCTCCGGTTATTCAAGGTCTCTGATTCTTAGTTTTCTTATCTATTAATTGAGAGTCAAAATATCTACATGTCATATGACTGTCACGATAATATAATGTGCACAAATCATTAACACGCTGCTCACGTAGTAACATACTCAAATGGCGATTTATAATGTCATCTTTTCATTTAGGTATTTCTTCAGTCATACCTTGGAATTTCCGTAATGAAGATGGAATGAGGGAAGATGCCACCTTGAACCTCCGTTTATATATATATATATATATATATGGTAATGTACTATATATGTACTGTATATATATGTAATATACTATAAGAAATGCAACTAAGCAGTCACTGATTTTGATGCTTCTTTCCCCAAGCTGTGACAACCAACAATAAGGACCCAGTGAAATTCTAGTGACTTAGATAGAATTATTTATTCCATTTAGCAATGACATTTGTTTAAATATAATAAGAACAATATGACCTTATTAAAATAAAACTCAGTGATATGTCCTTTCAACAAATTTTCAAATTTAATATACGAGGCTTGCATATAATAAATATAATGGTATGTAATTAAGAAACATTATTGTTTTCTGACATTCATGTGTGCCCTTCTTGAAAACATAACTATATAATCTTTATACCATTTTAAAACAACCTTTAAATACACTATTCCCCTGAATATGAAAAAACATGAATTAAGATTAATGAATAAAACTTCTGTAGCTTTAAAGTCTTTATTTCCCTCCATACAATGATAAAACGGAAATCAGTGGATACAAGTGCAGGAAAATCTAAGAGGCCATCATTATCTCTGCACTCTTCACATGTAGTACATTTGTACAGTTCTACTGGTTACAGGACAGCAAGTGAAGATCCTTTCAATCTGTGCAAGCTCTGCTCATTTCCCTGGCCACACTTCATAGCACTGAACCAACTCAAGCATTCAGCAAACTGAGTTCAGGTCAAAAACATTACCTAGCAAGACTGAAATCAGTTGCAAATCAATCTCAACCCCTAGAAAAAATAAATGATAAGTTATTTCCACTGGTTAACAACGTATATAGTAACAAGGACGCAAACCAGGCACCAGAATTTGGGATGTGGTCCAGGCTTTACAAAATAATAACAATGTCCACTTAATCACTTAACCTCATAGAGAATCAGTTTTCTTATATGATTGACAAAATAACAATATATACTGTGAATATCAGATGAAGTAATGAATGGAAATAATTCTGAACACTATAAAACAGTTAATATATGTGTGTATAGCTTGTTAAATATATGAATATATTTTTATTTTCCAAATATTTCTGAATTTAAAAGTTAAAACATCCATTTACAAAACATTCATTAAAATTCCTTATAATCATTCCACTTGTTTTAAAATAAAAATTCTCTTTATTTTTAAAAAGCTCCATTTCTCAAAATAGAAGCATTACTAAAAGAAGTCATACCCTAGATAGTCTTAAATGATATTAAAAAGCATTTGAAATAAAAGTATGTACAGTTAGCTTGTGCCATAATTCTGTTTTAACATATTTCATTTAAAAAGACTTCTCTGGAACTTTACCTTGTTTCTATTTCATGCAGCATCAAAGAAAGCAATCAATGCATTTTGGTCATAATTGTCCAGAATCTCCAGTAAAAGAGGTACTTTGGTTTTTACATTGGTGCCTTTGAACTTGAACTTATCTATGAAAAGATCAGTGATCATGCCTATAAAGAAAAATGTTAATTTCCTGTCATTGATTAGCTTTAATTAATAACACAGTACTTAATGAAAGTGAGTGATTATTTGAGAATCTATTTCTAAGCACTCATCACTGCATTATTTAATATACAAACCTAAAGGTATAGATACTTTTTTTTAAAGATTTTATTTATTTATTTGAGAGAAACAGAGCACAGAGGGAGAATGTGAGGGAGAGAAGCAGACTCCCCCCAGTGAGCAGGGAGCCCAATGCAGGGCTGGATCTCAAGATCCTGACATCATGACCTGAGTAAAAGACAGACTTTCAACCAACAGCCACCGAGGCACTCCAGGTATTTATACTTGTAAAAAATATTTGTTTGGGGGGATTTTAGGGCAGGTTTCAAAACATTAATCATTTGGCTAATAATCCGCTTAGTAATTGCTTAAAAGTTACTAAACTCAGATAATTAACTGCTGACCAGTTTTGAATTGCTATTGGTATATATAACATCACAATGAGGGGTTTGTTTTTCTCACCAAGCTGATCATTTTGACAGTGTAGAAAGATTTTTTTTTAATATTTTATTGATCTGGGAGTGAACATGGGGGTGGTGGTGGAAGAGGGAGAAGCAGACTCCCCACCAAGCAGGGAGCCCTACTCAGGGCTTGATCCCAGGACCCCAAGATCATGACCTCAGCTGAAAGCAGATGCTTAACCTACTGAGCCACCCAGGTTCCCCAACAGATTCTGTTCTTAAATTCTATTTGAGTTAAAAATATTCCATCAATATGTTATATAAAATATAAATCCCATTCTTGGGCATGTTTCAGAATTTTTCATATTTTAGATAATGAAAGGGATATACCATATATGGCATAATATCCAAGGGGAATGACTGGGAACATCTGATAACTAAACATGATAGTGTTTCTGCAACAAAATATATGGGTGAATATTCACACTAAGTGGAATAAAAATGACTATAAATAACCTGATGTCATTTTAAGTGGAGTTTTGTCATTAAATTATTAGTTCAGATTAAGTCAAATTTCCTGTCAAATGATTTATGAAGTTTTAGTTTTCAAAGCTTCCTGGGTTTTAGAACTGGTGATAATAAAAAACCACCCATCTTCTAAGTTATTATAGGATAAAAGATCAAAGGGGCACCTGCATGGCTCATTCCATTAAGCTTAAGCATCCGCCTTTGGCTTGGGTCACGATCCCAGGAGGCTGGGATTGAGTCCCGCATTGGGCTCCTTGCTCAGCGGGGAGCCTGCTTCTCCCTCTCCCTCTGCCTGCTGCTTCTCTTGCTTGTGTCCTCTTCCTTGCTATCTCTCTGTCAAATGAATAAAAATCTTTTAAAAAATTCATATAAATAAGTATATTATTTTATAAATAAATTCATTAGGCAGGCTCAAAGATCAACATGGATTGATGATACCAAGTGACTCTACTGAAGATTCTGCATAGTGCAAAAAGCAAGCATTTTGGGGTGAGGAAGTTCTAAAGCAGGCTTTGCCACTACCTATGTGACAACAAGCCTTTAATGTCAGATTTCAGTCAAAAAAATGTGAAAAATGAAGATAATACCATCCACCTTGCAGAGCTATTGTAAGGATTAAGTATAATGATTAATGAAGCTGTTATAAAAAATAGGAAATAAATAAGCTTAGTTTACATAAAGATCACAAAAAAAATGTTTTCCTTACGCTGTTCCATCCTTCCTCTTTCTCTCCCTTCCTGCATATTTCTCTCTTGCTTTCAAAGTTTTTTAGATAATTTGTGAAACACCCAACTTGTCAGCACCAAAGCAAAACGCTTTCCTGTAAATTCACAGCACATATATATCCTTTATTATATTTTGCCTAAATAACATTAAATGCTGCTTTTTGATATTTCATATCAACAGAACCTGAAAATTATCTGTGTGAAATACGGCCTATATTTTATTGCTTCATAGGTTATATTCATTTCACACTAGGTGACTTCATATATAGAGATTAATTTACTGTATTATACTTATGTCACTTAATTTTTCCTTTCATTTTTTCTAGATTTTTTAAAAATTTATTTGTCAGAGAAAGAGAGAGCACAAGTAGGGGGCATGGCAGACAAGGAGAGAAGCAGGGTGCCTGCTGAGCAAGGATCCTGATGCAGGAACTTGATTCCAGAACTCTGGGATCATGACTTGATCCCAAGGCAGATACTTAACTGACTGAGCCACCCAGGTGTCCCTTTCATTTTTTCAAGTAAAAATATTAAATATTAAAACAAATTTGACAAAATAGGTGATGCATAAATTGGTTTTCACTGGTACATGATTGCTGTAACTTTGCTTATCTTTCTGCCTAGCTTCTCTCACGGGATCCTTCATAAATAACCAGTAGAAAATAAATATGGCAAAGTTTTCTAGAATAATCCACTAACCGTACAGTCTTTCAAGATGTGCAGGTTGCTTTTTGTACTCTTCCTGTAGGTGATCTGCTTCTTCGAGAATACAGCGATATTCTGGTATCAGAAAGTTTGTATTTCCCTCATGAACCTGCAATTCCTATTTAAAATTAAAAACAGAAGGACTTTAATATTTAAAATCCAATCTAGTCTAACTTTGAAGTCTTTGCAATTTTAGAAATCCCATCACAAAAAAGTAATGATCATGAGTCCAAGAAATGTATACTTACTTTTAAAGCATCAATTAATTGCACTTTCTTAGCCAAAAGCAACTGGTACTCCAACTTTGGGTGGATTAGCTTTAAAGTATGTTTGACTGATACTTCATTTATCTCTAGAAGGAGGTGAGTCAGGCACCATTAGCTAAGTCATTTTGATCAGAAACATTCTTATTGTAACAACAACCAAAAAACAATACCTTAGAAAGAATGATTTATTTTTCTACTTTTTTTTTCTTTTTTCTTTTTTTTTTTTTTTACCGTATGATATGTTGAGGTTAATTTTCCTTTTGGTAGCTTCTTTAGAGAGCACATCTTTTAGGATGGATATAGTAGAAATGTTGTCAGATTTAAAAACTCCTTCTCCTTTTCTATA